AATTTTCGACTTGAAACTTTGCATAGAGATTTGTATCTTAGGATAGAGGAACAGCGACTAGACCTGAAACATTCAAAAAACAAAAGATTCTTTTTAAAGATCGTCCCTATCCAAAGTTTCAAATCAAAATTCAAAAATCAGTACAAAATCATTGAAATTAATGGAAAATTATTTGATATTGACTTCTATTAGTTTTTTTAAACACATACAACAATTGGAATATACGATTGTTAATGAGTATTGAAGTATATAATGAAAAACATTGGATCTCACACTCCACACAGATCATGACAAGCATCACATTTCTATCAAGATCTTGAACAATTTAATGATGTGATAGAAAAGTCAAAATACTATTCTATTGACCTTGACATCAATCATAATATAAAAAAGAAACAATCCTCATGTACAATTGAAACGATTTCGTCATACTTCATAGTTTTATTTCGTAGAAGGATTCAACTGAAACCTTTATATTCTATATGACAGATTGTAAGTGCAAAGAAAATGTTTTCGTTTAGAAAGACAAATAATGTATAGCAAGAAAGATTATTCTGTCTCGCAGTACTCGACTCATTTCAATGACAAGTGATTATAATCAGTCAGAATCACATCATATGCATCTTATAAAATAAATAAATGTTTAATAGATGTAATAGTTTTTTTTTTTGCTCTCATTGCTAACAAAATTTAATCATAAAATAAATATTCATGATGTTCAAGTAGATTTGATTTTTAACGTGTAAGATAAATTTATATATATATATATAGATATTTTTTCTTTTTTCGACAAAAAAAAGGTATGGCTGCTATTGCTGCTCTATCTCAAAATGAACGTACACTTCGTTATGTTATTGATTTACCTATATCATCAACTGAATATAATATTTGGAAGCCTTTATTTAAATTATTTTTATCAGTAAAAGATGATGAAAGTACAATATGTGGTCGTATTCTTCAATCCTTAACTCGTCGTGAATCAGATAATTCTCAAATAAGTTCATATTGGTCTTCTATGCTTGAAAATGGTCTATTATCAACATTAATACAAATATTTAGTTTATCTAAAAATGATGATGCACTTACAAGTGCATTTCTTATATTTTTAAATCTTTTAAATGAAGTACCACAAATAAAAAATGATTTAGATACTATTAAAAATTGTTTTAGTTCAATGTTAAAACATACACGTTCAACAAATAATCAAATTCTTACATTATTAGGTCGAGTTTTATCATGTCTTAGTACAGACAAATTATTAATTGATTCAATGGTTGAACAAGGACTTATTGAAACATTAATGATACTTATTGATAAACAACGTTCATCACAAATTATTTATCCATATTTTGATTGTTTAGCAAATGTCATAGGAAAATCATATGAATATCAACGAAAATTTGTTTATTCAAAAAATTTTCTCTTATTAATAGTACGTAGTTATTTACAAGACTATGATTTAAATTTATCATTATCAGTCATACGTTTTATTCGACAATTAGTTAAAAATAATGAAGAACTTCAAAATATTCTTGCACATTATGGTGTATGTGAACATTTACTTGGTGCATTATCGGCATCATCAAAAGAATTACAACAAGTATCTATTGAAGCTATACAAGCATTAAGTCATAAAAATCAAAAAGTACAACAAATTTTATTACGTGAACATGCACTTGAACAATTATTAAATTTATTAGAAAGAACTAATATGTCAACTTTACAAGTAGCTATTGTTTGTACATTATGGACATTATGTGAAAATAATCCATTACAAAAACGTGATGTAGCAACAAAAATAGGTGTTAGAAAATTAATTAGTTTTTATACAATTAAATCCGATGAACATTTATTAGTTGTAACAGATGCAATTAATGAATTAGCTAAATGTGCAGCAAGTATTAATATGAATATTCAAGAAGAAATAAATCATGCACAAGGAATTCCATATCTTATTCGTCTTCTTAAATCTGATAATGAAATGCTTGTTTTAAGTGTTTTAAAAAATTTACAATTAATAACATGTGCTCCAGGTTTTATTGCTAATCGAAAAAATCAAGAAATTATTGTTAAAAATGATGGTATTAAATTACTTGTTGCTTTAATGATGCATGCTAAATGTGATATTATTCAAGTTGAATCAGCTCAATCTTTAGCTTGTATTGCATTGAGTATATATGATTAATGTTTATCATATAAAATATTATTACTAAGCTTCTTTTTTTTTTTTTTTTACTCTTTAGGTAATAATCAATGTTCAACATTAATTGAAAGTACATTAGATTTTTCTTATTCACATCTAGTTGATTTAATGCACTCAAATGATGTAAATGTTCAATTAAAAGCGTCAAATGCTTTAGCTACATTTGTATATAATAATTCTCGTGTACAATTATTTCTTAAAAACCATTATCAATTTTCATTTGATTATTTTCAAAAATTTCTTCAAAATAATAATGAATCTATAAGATGTATAACTGCATTTCAAGTTCGTTTATCAATATGCATATATATATATATGAATGAAAATAAAATTGATTTAGGTTGTTGTTTTTTGTGGTTTAATAAATGAACAAAAACAATCAGTTAATACAGCTGTTGGATGTGGAATTCTTATGGATATTCTTCGAACATCTCAAATCGATGACGCTAAATCTGCAGCTGCAGAATGTGTAGCTCGACTTGCACATATGAAATCAGGTAAATAATCAAAATAAAGAATTAGATTTCTTTTTTAAAGGAATTATTTAATTGTAGTTTCAGAAGTGCATAAGCACACAGGTAAATTTGTAAGCCTCTTCTCCTTTTGTTTTGTATTCTATTAACATTCTTACCCTTATACATCTTCTAATTAAAATTAAAAAAATAATCTTATTATATTCATCTTCTGATTTTGCACTTTACTTTTTTCAGGCGTACCACAAGCTATAATTGCTGTAAATGTAATAGATTATTTATGTAATTTATTTTCATCATCAAACGATACCACTATTGGTAATGCATCTGTTGCACTTGGATTTTTATCTCATATACCGGAAGGTCGAAGAAAATTATTGAATAGGTATTTACAAAAAAAAAAATATTTATTTTTAATTAATATTTCATCTATTATATCATTTTTTATAAAAACAAAAAAAAACAGATGCAAAATTGAACCAGATATTATGGCATTTTTGAAAGTATACAATTGTTTACCTGGTTTACCTCCACGTCTTTCAATACATTTGATTGACGAGTGGGATCGATATCATACATTGAAATTACCTAAATTACGGTCAGTATTTCTAAATACTCACTTCTATATTGTACTTAATGAGGGTGATCATTTTTGACTGTTGGAAACGACGTCTTAGACGACATGAAATGGTGTATTAATACATAAATTTTTATTGCATTTTGCCGTAATCTGCCAGCCATATATTCGCTAGCAAATAATCATCGTCTCTCCTACGCTTTTCATCGTTTTTATGAGCTTACGGAAAACGACAACGTAAGGATGTATGTCATTTTATATTGTTTATGACGCCCTTTTTCTTCGATCGAGATAATTATTCTTCAAGATACAATCTCAAGCACATGCAATAATGTCATGTCTTTGAAAATTTATTATAATTTTCTTTTTTTTTTATAGATCTCAAACATCAAGTATACGATATTTTAAAGTTCTTTCAAATAATATTGAACGATCACGAGCAGCACCTCTATCAGATTACGAAAAAGAACAATCATCAACGAATATAATGAACTTTTATTTACCGAATATACGTCAGAAAGTTTAATTTTTCTTGTTTGTCTATGTAAAAAGATATTTTTTGTGTCTTCTTTTCTTCTTCTTTAATTTTAATTTATTGTATGCTAAAAAGCAAGGGCAGGTATGGGGGCAGAATAATAAACATTGATTTTATTTTTTTTTAACAATGAAAATTGTTTTTAATTTATGAAGTCAATAATCTATTCTCGGAGAAGTTTGGAGTGGAAAAAATGTGTGTATGCACATGTAACATAGGTGGAACAAAAGTCTTCCATAGAAATGATCAAAGACATGAGAATCTTGGAGTTCAATCACGTTACGTAAGTTAAAGTAAACAACGTAATTGATATTTCTGTGTAATTCTCTGTTCTTCGTCACACTTTAAATGTCATATTGTCAGTCTGTAAACATATGACAAAAAAAAGGAAAAGCATGAAATATACTGTTTGCCCTCAGGAGAGGTAAAGTCATTGTTTGATTGTAAAAGAAACACCTTGAATAACTTTTTATCATAAGTTTGTATGATTGTGCTCGAAAAAGATTTTATATGCTGATAATTACGATTACAATTGTTTGAATTTCTTTGAATTCTCTTATAGATGAATAGTAATAGAAAAATTCTTCGAACTGCTAAGTACCAGGAATTGAATTATTGAAACAGATCAATTCAAATCAAAGAACATATTCAATAGTTTCTCAGATAGAAACTAAACCTGGACTTGCTGATCTCTAATCTTTCCTGTAGACATTTCGAGATGACTCTAATAACCAATTCCCACACGTTAGCTTGAGTTTATCGGTGGTCTTTTTATCGATATCTCCTAAGCGATATGCGTGTGATCAATTTAAAAGCGACTAGTATATGATTAGATTCTTGATAGATAAAATTATTTCGTCGACGATTGGGCATCAGATGTATGATCTTGTATTTTTTTTTCTTAAAGTAAGCCTATTTTTTGTTCTTTTCAAACAATAAAAATTACCAACAAAACAAATGAAATTTTATTCAAAGAAAAATTAAATTATACACAGTGTAGTATTTAAAATCTAAATGCAGTGATGGATTTAGAATTTGGGATATAGTGATGAGAGCAATCATAGTCACAAAACATATGTTTAAGTCAAATTATAGGTTGTACAAACACATTTTTAAGCGTTTTCTGCTTAAAAACAAAAATAAGATTTATTTCGGAATGAAAAAATGATCAATGTCAATGCCCCTTGTCGAAATCCACCACTGTTTTAGACATTATAATCGAGAATTTTCATCATCTGAATTTCCACAATTATCTTTTACAGTATAAGTTATACTCAGTAAACGATTATTTGGATTAACTGTTAATAAATTATTTACATCATACTTTCGATTAATTCCATTGATATTTTCATCTTCACAAAGTATTGTTGCCGATGTAATCACAGGATTAGTTGTCAATTGTGCTTTTCCTACTGGCGTTAATCTAACTCCTCCACTCATATTTGTATTATTTTGTAGAATTTGAAATTGTTCAGGTAAAATTTTCGAACATCCAGGTAATGATGATATCATAACACGAAGTTCTTGTCGAAAAACATTAGCTGTTAAAAAATAGAGTAAAAAATTTGCTGCCGTATTTGTATAATAAATTAATGAAAACATTGTCCATAATGATTGTGAATTTCGTCCATGTAAATTTTTAAATAAATGTCCAAATGCCATAAATGTTGATGCTGGTGCTGTTAATAATATAAATACACATGATACAGATAAAAGCATAATTGTTAAATTTCGTTGTTTAGCTTTTTTACGTTGATTTTTTTGATTTGTATGTTGTTGTATACGACGTGCTGATGCAATTACATTTAATATTAATGAATTAAGAATTAACATTATTATAAATGGACATAATGTAAACAAAAACCATTGAATATAACCTAATATATTTGAACGAAATTTAAGATAAGTTGGATAATTTAACGATGTATTGCATACATGTCGAAATGATATTGTACGATTTAAATATGTTGAAGTTTGTCTAATAGGAACTAATTGAAGTTCATAAAAAATACCCCAATGTAATTCAATAAAAAACGATATTAAACAAATTAAACCAATAACAGTATAAGCATTTTTAACAGTACAATGTTTTTTTGAATAATGATGTTTTGCTATAGCAAGATAACGTTGAACACTAACAGCAACAAGTAATGTTGGAGATAAATTAATAAAATAATAAGTGAAAAATATATGAAGTTTACAAGATAAATTGCTGTATAAACGCATATTTCGATTGGGATCAATTCGGACTAGATAAAAATTTAATACGCTAAAGAAAACATTACCTAACAAAAGCAAAATAAAACAAAATACAATAATTATTTCTATAAAAATTTTTTCACATATTCTTACCGAGATCGGATAATGCTAAAGCAATGAGATAAACTGATGTAACTTGTGTTCGTAATTTTTTACGACTAAGTGTTAAAGCAGAAAGTGTATTTCCAATGCCACCAACAATAATTAATAAACAACCAATAATTCGAACAGACCATTTAAGTATAAGGAAACGTTTGTCATTAGAAAGTAATGTAGTTATCGATGATGAATTAGTTAAAATTGGTAAATATGAAGAAGAAATATTTGATAATGATGGTGATGATGATAATAATCCTATTTGATAAGCTAATGTTGTTTTCATTGTTTCAATATCATTTTCGATGAGAAGTGGTTCAAGCCAGAGAACATCTTCGTTGACTACCGACATCACCAACAAAAAACTTAATTGAAAAATAATCAACAGAAGGTGTGAGAGTCGGGGGTGACTCGTTTTCTCGACGGATTACCTATGAAAAAACATGTCAACAAATACAATTAAAATTAATATTCAAGTTTGTTTTTTTTGAAGAAAATAATTTTTTTTTTTTTAAGTATACACACCTTTTTAGTCCTATATTCCATCATATTATCAATGTTTTGGACACAAAAACGACGCGTAATCCTTTCAAAGCAACACAGGAAAAAAACAAATCTCATTTTTTCTTCCACTCTAATTCTTTTTCTTTCTCCATATCACACAGTGCATCAAATTAACAATGTGTCACTGTTCGTAAAGTGTTAAAAGGAAATCGTGCAAATAGATAAAAATACATATGGACATATGCTTATAATCTGGCCTATTTCAGTCATTCTATGATTCGTATCTTTTTCTGTTAAATAAATGATGACAAGTTAAATAATAATAATAATAATAATAATAATAATAGTCATAATCTCAACAAACTGATATTATTGTAGACAAATGAATGACGAAGATTTATTAGCTATTTCTCGATTTATCTGTATAAAGAAACGAGAAATTGGTTTTATTCTATTGATGACATTGCGTGTTGGCAAGATATATATATATATCTTTTTCGTAATTTAATTTCCACCTTACCTTCTTCGCACTGAATAAGATGACATATAGAAAATAAAGACTTTTCGGACGAGAATTTTTAATATTGTTACAATGTTCTACTATGTTACAATGAAGAATCAAGAATGAATTTAGATTGTCTTTTTGTATGTAAATAAAAATAAGAGAAAAAGAAGCACTATTGACACTAGACATAACACTCTAAATGCAAATTAGTATCTTTCGATAAGATGACTATCTTATACTGTAGCATATTAAAGGATTTCTTGATAAGTTCTTCTAACGGTTTCTATTTTGTAATTTAGTTACTTGAAAGTTAATATATAAAACAAAAAACTAATAATAAAAATTTAACGGTTTCTTTTTTTTTTGTTAATCATCTCGATTTAAAATAAAATGTAGATATAAATTACTTCTATTTGTGTTCTATAAACTATATGAAAAAGAATAAGAAATATATTTTCATATTTATTGTATATATACTTATTCTTTTTCTAAAAGAGAATAGAAACTGAAATATTTCCTTCCCGTATTGATTCTAGGTTATTTCTACAACGACGAATTATTTTCTTTATTAAAGAATATATATTAGAATAATTCTATCTTTCATTTTTCGCTCTCATATTTAAAAGTTTAATAGAATCTTTCTTTTTGTTATATGATTGGTTAATAGAATAGAAAAAAATAACGAGTCATAAGTTTTTTTTTTTTTTATTTTTTATTTTATTCAAGAACGGAAATACTTATCAAGATGATGACTTGAATTTATATTTAAGTGACTATTGATCTCTTCAAATGTATTCTTTGTTATATAAGAAAAAAAAAAACTGAAATTAACTTTCAATATTGTCATTATAAGGGAGAAATAAGAAAAAAAACTTCGGCCTTGAAATCATATGAAGCATTTAAAACTACTTGAAGTCTACTACTGCCACCCAATGTCATCTAAATTCAATCCAGGTAACGCCCTATCTTAATTGTTTCCGGGTATGTTCCGATTAAAATAGGGTCAATAATAACGGAAACGAAAATCTTTGGAAATTGTATCAAATAGAATCCTTCTTTTTCTCTATAATTTAGCAAGACATGTTATTGTTGTTTTTATGCCTATAAGATAATAATTCTCTTAGCCGCAATAATATACATCGATAGCTTCCTGATAAGCAAATATTTATCATATATCTGTACGTACTAACCTATTAAAATATCTTAATTAATAATAACGAACGGATGAAATCTGGAAAACATTAAATTTAATATTAGTAGAATACAAGAAAAAAAGAAACTGAACTACTTATGAGTTCTCAATGTGAAGTTGAGTGAAACAAAAGAACAAGTAATTAGTTGAATGAAAAAAAAAGAAAAATAACATTTTTTTGCTTAACAGATTTTGGTCAATATGTAAATTGTTGGACTTTTTCTTTCTCTCTCATTCATTAAAAATATTTCGTTAAAAAAAAAATTAAAATTATTTAATATTAATATTATTTTAATAGATAAATACGAATATTAATACTATAATGTTCATATGAATGTTTACATGAATGATGAAAGAAAATTTTGCTTGGAAAATTCTATTTATCTAATTTTTTTTATATTGTTAATTAGAGAATAACATCATTATTTATTCTTTTGTAATACGTTCATTTCTTTTTTTTTTACAGATAGAAATAATCAGATTTGTATTTAAAACAAATGTTTGAACTTTTAATAATATTTTCTAATATATAAAAATAGATAAATAGATTAAATAAGCATGAACATATATGAACGACAATAGTTTAATCAAATAAATAGGAAACAAGAAAGAAAGAAAGAAAGAAGCGATGTAATCATTTAGATATGTTAACAAGTGAATTAAATTCAATAGCATATGTTTCTCGCTACTACGACTCCAACTTATTATTAATCGACAGGGAATAATAGAAAGCCATGTGTTCATCGGAAGTTAGACCTTTTTTCAGTTCTATATTGTATCACAAGTGTTAACCATTGCGCGCACGTACACACGCACAGCTAGATGTCTTTAGGGTATGAATAATAAGTGACAAAGTCGAAGCCAAATTTGTTTTCTTCAATCCTTTTCGTACTATGATTACTACTAACTTATTGCTTTTTTTTGTTGTTATTATCGTCAATAATATATTATTATATTGGATCAACTAATATAGCAAATGATTTGTGAAAACAAATGATTTTGGTCCGAAACAATATCGAAATGTAGAATTCTTTTGTTCTCTTTTCTCAATTGAACAATAAAAATAAGAAAATTATAAGAATTCATCGAAAGAAATTTTCAACATGAACAAATTTGAATACTGATCTGTTTAATGATATAAAATATTTTTAAACACTTACTAGAACAATGATAAAATCTTCACTGAGAATACTTACGTGCATAGTTATTATGTTGATTTGTTGTTTTTCAATATAAAAGAATTTTGGTTAATGGTCTTTGTCGTTAATATTCACTGTCAACAATCCTAATGAAAAAAGGATTTTTCAAGAAGAAAAAAGTGTTTTTTTTTTCTTTAACGCTGGTCTCTACAATGATAAACAATAGAGTGAGAAAGTATTGCTTCGATCAGACATCGTACAATAAAAAGAAAGAGAAAAGAGTTAACATACTTTCTTTTCTCCCATTATAGCCTTTTTTTTCTGCTATTCGACATAGAAAAGAAAAAAAACAAATGAAAATTTTCGTCGTTATTAATGTCATTAGTTTTATTTTCATTGTCTCAGATATATTTTTATCCATAAAAACAAAATCATAGATAAGAACAATTTATCTTTTATTGAAAAATCAACTGATTTTACCTTTTTTTTTTTTTTGTTTTTTCGTTTTTATAAATAGATCATTTAATTGATTACTTATCACCTACACAAATCCGATCAAATATATTCTTAAAAACTTAAATATATTTTATGGATAATCCACTATGTTGTTTCTATGATAGGTAAATCTCACTTTAATAAATAATTTATAAACACAAGAATATGATGAAAAAGAATAGAATTAATAGCAATCTCTTATTCTGCTCTCAAATACGTAAGATTTTTTTCTTTTGAACGTCATTATTGAAGCTCACGAATAATTATCAAGAACAAGTTTACGATTAGATCAATACAGAAATTATTCTGTTTATCCTTTTGTATTCTCATTTGTTTCATATAAACATTCTATATAGTATCGGAAGAATTCAAAAATGTAATATATAAATGATCTTTTGGCTATGAAAATAACTACTTAGTATATTCTATGATAACAGACAATAAACAGATAAGAAAATCATAGCAAATATATTACCAAAATATTGCATATAATTTGTTTTGTGAGGATCGAATATAATTGTGATAATGAATGATAAAAAGAAAAAAAGTAATTAATCAATGATATTATATTTTCATTTCATATCTATTGAAAATCAATGATCAATATTCGTTATGTTTTATTTGTCATTCTAACTAGTAGTACACAAGGACTAGTTGTTCCCAAATAAGAACAACCAAATAATAGAAAAATAAAATCAACAATCTTATCTATTACATAGAGTTTCCCGTATATGTTGATGTTTTCTTATCATCAAAATTTTGTCTGAACTGTTATTAATTGATTGTTTATTTCTTTTAAGAAAAAAACAATGTATAGTAAAAATATTATTAATAACTAAGTATTATTTGAATATTATAAGAAAATACTAAAGAATAAAATAATAATAATAAAAGAATATTCGAAATTGTCTATAGTCATCAAAATATAAATTGAATTTGTCATATGAATTATTTTTTAGCAAAAAAAAACAAATCTTAAATATGTAGAATAATCTTATAAAGAAGATTTATGTACTCCATGTCTTTTTTGTATGTCAAAAATAATAAAGTACTACTATTTTAATATTTGATCTATATTATTTATGACATATCGTTTGATTTGTTTGAGAAATAAGTTGGCAGGTACAAGATTTTTACATTGAATACGCATGATTTTGCTAGAAAATGATAATTTATTTATGTTTTCTTTTTCTCACATATAGGAAGAAATTTGGCATGCGAATTTTTAATATATAACACTGTCAACTATCAAAATTAATTAAATCAAATAAATTATTGACAAAAAAATTTGATCAAAATTTAACTCAAATACGCATATGTTTTCGATTGATTTCGTTATTATTCTTGACTTTAAAAGAATATTTTTGAATTGATATTCATATTTAGATTTTTTTTTTTTGGGAAGGAAAATATTTTGCTTTTCTTTAAGTAATTAGTCTTGCGGAAATATTCGAAATGTCATATGTGATTAAATTCTGTAGATAGACTTGATCATATATTTTAGACTTTTTTTTAACCCTCTATGACATACGCTGAATCTGAAGAAAAAAGAAATCATAAGCATATGATATTATATAATCGAACTATAGTTTTTTTTTGTTTATTGATTGTATAATTATATTCTTCTGTAATTATTTTTTCATTATGTTTTAAAAAAATTTGTTTAACAAAAAATGAAATAAATAAAATAGTAAAAAATAAAATAATTGATGAAGTTGATTTTTTCAATATTTTAATAATAACCATAAATATTTTACCATGAACAGTAAGATTAGGATCTGGTTCTTGATTTTCAATAGCTACTCGATGCATTCGCCAATTATGCCATAATGTATTAACATCTGAACCAATAGTTGCTATAGGTAATAGATTGAAGATTTTAATTCCTCGAATATCATAATGAAGAACTCGTGCATCTTTTTCTGGAATGTTTTTATCAAGTAAAATTTCAGGAAGATTAAATTGTAGACAAGTAGGTCGACCAATACCAACGAAATCGCATGCATTAAAACGAATAGCATCATTCATTCATTCCCGAGTACGAAATCCACCAGTGACAATAAGAGGAATTCTAGTGGTATGACGGATTTTTGCGGCAAATTCAATAGAATAAGCTTGTCTTGAGGGTTTGGATGTCGGTGGAAAGAGAAGACACACACACACACACATACACACACCTACCACATACCCCTAAATAACCATGACTAGCATGAATTTCTACGCGAGCAAAATTTACTTTAGCCATAATTTCAGCTGCATCAGCAAATTTCTCAACGGCTTCATCTATTTGTGCTCGAGTCATTTCTTCAGGTGTACCAATAACAAAATATTGTAATGTTCGTGCAAAAATATTATTACCCATTGACATTGCAATTGGACTAGGTGCAATAGTCGGTTGTCTGTAAGGTCTTTTCCCCAAAGGTGATTGACGACCTGCATGATTAATTTGAACAATAGTTGGTGTACCATAACTTTGGCACACGTCAGCATATCGTTTTCATTTTTCAATATCAATCTTATCTTTGTTCGAAATCATTAAATCTGTCATTAAGCCAGGATAACGTTCATCGACTTGTACGTTACCCGTCAAGAGAACACCAAATGAACCTTTTGCCCAACGTTCATAAAGACGATAAATATATTCATTTGGTTGATTATCACCACTACCAAATGATTCTTCCATTGCTGCTTTGACAGTTCTGTTAGATAGTTTAAATCCACATGGAAGTTCAAATGGTTGTTCGATTGGCATTTCATAATGTGACATGATTCAAACAATGGTTGATACTCACACAAATCGTAAGATGATAAAACAAAAGAATTACTTCAGTTATCTTTGTTTTTTATTTGCTCTGTTTATTGCATTCATTGCTTGCATACAGTAGACTCCTTCATAGGATTGGCAAAAAATACAATTTTCTTTTTATCTATATTATATTTTTACAATGAAATTTCATATATTTTTCATTGTCAAAAAACATCATTAAATATGGCATTGATATCTCGCTTTCTTATTGATAGATGATATTTTTTTTAAACGTTAAACAAAGTTTACGTGGATTTATTAAATCATTCTCATTAAAATAGTGTTGGTTTTTGTCTTGTTTGATACACAATTACCTTAATGTTTTTCTAGACGTTAATACAAAGTATAATAGAAACAATAAAAGAGTAAATGAAAACATGTAAGATCGTTTGTTTTAACTATATATATTAAATGTGTTATACTGGTTTTTATATTCGGTCTATTTCTTGTTGACGAGATATATATGGCAAAACTGTTGTAAATGCATTTGTCATTGTATTTCAATCTTTCTTTTTATCTATTATTCAGGTGAGCATTAGTTATTGTATTCATTCTTTTTTATCTAAAATAAATAGATAAACTTTTACGTCGTTCTCATTCCAATAAATATCATACATAAGTGTGTCAATTTGTAAAGATCTTCCGAAAATTTCAAAAGTTCTTATAATCTAATTTTTCAATGAAAATAATAGATTAATCATATGTTGAATAAAAGCAATTTTCTTCAAAATAAAAATTTTTGATTGAAATTTAATTCTCACTTCAATTCATAAAAATCTATTCAGCTACATCAGAGAATAACGATCATTCTGCTTTCTCTTCGTACAAAAAGTATTCATGAAGTTACCATCTTATTATTAGTTGATATTCCATTAACATAGAAAAGCTGTTAGCGCAATTCCTTGCGGGATTAAAAATGTGAAACACGATGGATCTATTGTTACTAGTTGAATGAAAATTGTTTTGTTCCATTTCTTTGCGATATATTTGTAGCTAACGGTTTATCTAATGCTTTAGAACTACAGTTTCTCTGTTACGATCTGTGATGGGTCTCAAGCCCTGTCTGTCACGGTCTGTGATGGGTCTCAGGCTTGCCTGTCACGGTCTGTGATGAGTCCCAAGCCCTGTCTGTCACAGTCTGTGATGGGGGGGGGGGTCCAAATTTCTACCCTTAAACACTTCAACACTCCTTTCAGATCGTGTTTCACAAAATATTGAATCTTAAAAGAGATTCCTTCCAACAAATACTCTCCTTTAAAACTCATATTTTGTTCATTGTCATAAGATNCAAGTATGTTCAAATAAATTTCAAAATTGGATTTTAAATTATCAAAAATGGCATGAAAATATTAGTTTGGCTATTAGTAATCGATCGATGACATTTGAAGAACAATTGCAACGTATAACTGAACTTAATGTTCGATTTTTAATCTATGAAAAACATATAACTGGTATTGCAGATCGAGTAATTCATTTGATATCAAGTTATTTCGTAGCTTTATTAACAAATCGATTATTTATATTTGATTCAGATTGGTCAGAATTTATAGACGCTATGCAATCAAGTTTAAATTATCAACCAGCATTTATTATTTCTTGGTTTTCTCAATTTGATTTGATTATGAAAAATTTATCTTTAGATTTTCAAAAAAATTTTTCATTAGGATCGTATTGGTTTTCTTTTGATCGATTTAATAAAGATTATGATTATGAGAAACATTGTCCTCAACGTATTATTATATTTAAAGGGCATACAGGAGGCGTTATACATGCAATTACATCTAATACAAGTCTTTATAGAAAATTTTTAACTATTGATCTTGAAATGAATCCAGGAAATATTTTTGGATGTCTTTATAATTCTCTATTTACTTATCGTTTATCTCAATTGATTAAACAAGTTCCATTAATTTCTTCAAATAACCAATCAGGTCATTCATCTCAACAAATTTTACAAATACTCTTATCACCGAGAGTTTTTCCAATTGGATTTCAGCTTCGTGTTGGAGATGAAACAATGATTAATACGAATAATATTGCTGATGAAACAACCATTCTTAAGAAATTTGAAAACTTTTTTACATGCTCTCGACAAATAATTAACAAAAATAAGAAATTATTTCGTGAAACAAATCAAATTCCAATTATTTTTCTTTTATCTGATGATCTTCAAATACGTCAAGCTGCTTTAAAACGTTGGAAATTCTCATTAGAATGTTTTCAATCATTTGAAAATAAATGTCAATCAAATAATAGTGATTTAAGTATTTTAGCAAATTCCAATCCTGTTTTTCATATATCACATACAAATAATCCAATATTAGCTTTTCAATTAGGAATATTTGATATCTTTCTTTTTAGTTTATGTGAACAGCATTTAATTACTACAGCGAGTGGATTTGGTCGCTTTGCAGCATTTGCATCTTTAAAATTACGAAATATTTATTCATTGTTTGTTGATGAACAAGTTTCTTGTGAAAACCAAAGTGTACCACTTAAAATTGCAGGTTATCATTGGTCGGGAATCTAATTATTCGTTTATAGCCTATGAAAAAATGTTCTTAAATATGAGGAATAATCAAAAAGTTCTTTCGAAGTGACAAATTTATTTTGTATTTTATTCGAAGCGAAATAAAAAGTAGTTTATTTTCAAATATTGTTAAATTTTTATTTTTACAGATGAATCAATTTCAGCTATTTATCTATTTTATCAATTTAGAAGAAATTATGTATTAAAAAAAATCATAAAGAAATCATAATTGACTAGGAATTCAAAAGGAAATATTTGACGAAATTCTTTTTTATATAGATTTATAATCGATATGTTTCAATAATGTGTGGTTTTATTATGTTATTGGCAAATATTGACGTGTTGAGAATCATTGTTTCATTGCTTAACTACACGTAGGTAAAGTTAGCATTATTTTCAAGTACTAGGTCGCTCATGCTCATCTAGTAATCTGTTCCACAGTATCTATTCTCATTTCAAGTACGACTCAGCAAGCTCTAATCAATGATACAATTAGATTTTCCGTAGCAAAGATGATTTTTTTGAAAATTTTCAATATGAGAATATCATGAAGTTTAAAGGAATTCTGTTGTAATATATCAGTGGTAGATTTGTTCCGAAACTTTTTTAGTAGAGGATATGGATGAAGAGAAGGTTATCACCTTCACATTCTCATGAATTCAAATCTATACTTGCTTACGTCATCATTTGTGTCATTTCGCATAGTATTAAAGATGGAAATATCATACAAGTTTCTTCATTCCTTTCTTGTGTAGTAGTATAAAAAAAGATATCTAATTATTGAAAGACTATGCACAGAAGCTATGAGTCAAAATGTTAATTGCCATTATTTACCTAAATAGACGAATTGTAACGTAACGCTGACAACAATGGGTTTTAAGAGGATGTGGATAAAGATCCATAGCTGCATCCAACCCAAATTTGTCTTACTGATGACTATATTTTTTTAATTATTGTGTCAGTCTTGTAAAATGAGAATTATTTGTATGATTGAATTTCAACCAATAAAAGAATTATTTTTTCGAATATGCTTCTTATCTATACTTTTCACGAATACAAACTACTGATTTCATGCTGTTTTCGAAACTCGAGAACATTACTATATCATTATCACTGAGGAAGAATGCTTCATCTTCATAGCCATCCGAATATGTTTTGTTTGAGACAAGGAAGATGATGGATAGTCATAAAGAAAATATTTGCTTCTTCGCGAAAAAAGTGGAATAAGTTAGTACACGATGAGATCTTTTGGTAGTTTAGATCATCTTGTGATGAAGAACAAACATATTTTGGGTATGTATTCGAACCTTCGAAAGCAGTCAATATTGATTTTCGTTCTTAACTCGAAAGAATTTAGAGTTTCTCAAAAATAGTTGATCTTTCAATAAAAATAATCACCTGTACATTTTCATGAAAATATCGACTTTTCGAAACTTTGCAAATATTTTATAAGTAGCGTTTTTTTTTGTCAAAAGATGCGTCTTTTGATGCTCTACGTAATTATATAAAACTTATGTTAGACCCTTAAAAATTAAATGCAAAACAGAAGCAAAGAGGATAAATTATAACGTACAGGAAATATAGGTTTTTCTGGAACAACTTCCGTTCTATCGATTGATATAATTTGCTAATAGTTTTGATCAAATTTTTATGATTAAAAAAGTTCGTGGACATAAATTATCGTATTGTTGCAATTAGAGTTTTTGAGTAACTTCTTATACTCTTACAAACTCATCTCAAAAACTAAAATTCTCCGACAACTTGTTTGACTGCTGGCCTCATGTGGACGCTCTCTTAAATTATTATGCTTCAAGAAAAAATGCTGCCGTCAATCTACATAGATGCACTGCAAAATGGTGGTACACTTTGGGCCAGATTCTTCATGAACAAGAATAAGATAAAAATGCAGATCTTTTTCGTTGATGCAATGATAAAGACATGAGATAAAGAGCAAGTCTTGTTATTTATTTTGTGCGCTATCATGCGCTAAGAAAAAGCAGGATAGGGTGAGCATTTAAGGTATTGTAACGACTTACAGACCGACGAAAATCGATAACTGCTGTGATCCATACTTTTTTTCTTCCATATCAACCTTATCGAATATTGCATTTCACTTTTCTGGCTTTTGACTAATTTGAGGTCTCAAATTACTTTGGTGAAAATTATGTTAAAAACCAACTCGCATTATGGTATTTTTTCTGCGCATTTTATTTTTTTGTCGCAAAGCTAAGGGCTTAGGCAAAATCTGGGTCTAACTCCATGGCTTCTATCATCTTTAGACAATATCGATAATATTCAAACATTAGAAGTCAATATAATCAGAATCAGATTTCGACGCTTATTCCGAATAAGATGTAAGTTGTTATCAAAGAACGATTGACAAATAAAATACTAAAGTGAATGTCAATTTTCTTTAAAATAATGTCCCAATTTTCATTCAAGTTGAGATAAAACTTTTCTTTGGAGCTATAAACAAGAAAAAAGGCAGACAGATTTGTAAAATGATCTGGTACCGATTGAACATGTATCATTTTGACTGCCAGATTTCATAAAATTCTTATTATTATTTTCTTCTCAAACTTGCGGAAATTTAATCGGAGCAAACTTTATTCGAAGCTTTTATCAATGCGAATATGTACTTTGGTGATTACTTTGAACATCTACGTGTCGTTTGACAACATCAAGACGATACTAATTTATTTCTCATGTCTTATGAAGAAATGAAACGTGACTTATCAGGAGTCATTCGTCGAGTTGCTGAGTTCATGCATATTGAACTCAGTGATAATTTACTTGAGAGTATTACTACCTATTCACCGTTTACGTATATGAAAGAACAGTTTCATAAAGCCTACTCAGCCTAAGCGCGTATTGGACTGGTCAACGAAGAGCTCAATGCATCCTGGCCTATTGATAAAATCCATGCTGAAAAGATGGCAGATACGCCTGAAGTGGATAAACTTTTCTTACCATGATATATGTGGATATATGATTCAATTTTTTTGAGTGGAACGTTTTGCTGTCAAGATATTTTTGAAAAAAAGTTCTTTTACGGATAAATTTGATGAAATAAATAACTGATTCCAGCTTCTAACATTGCCCAGAATTAAAATTAACTGTGAACGGATTAGAATTGATCAAAATTCGCGCTAAAATTGACTACTATCAACTAGTAGTAACTAGATTTGGCAAAAATGTAAACGATTTGAATTGAATTATTTTTTATCTAACCTATGGTTTTCATTTACAGAAATGGTAATTGTAAGGTCTACTTTAACTAGGATGTGGGTGTGAGAAGAAAAAGGATTCTGAAACCCATACCTGCACATTAACATCGCCATCCTCAAGTTTTGCTTGGCAATTGAATAGCTTTTGTTGGAGCATGTTTCTAGACGAATCAGCCCTTTAAAAAAAGGTTGAATCTGAATCTAGCATAGCCTACGTACCATACAGATGAAGTATCGTTCCCACTTCGAGAAGAAAAGTTATATTCGAAAAAGTTCTACTCATAGTATAACTAAGAAAATCCTTATTACTTCTTCCTGACTTATATCTTCATTCATGTTTGATGAACGAAAAACTAGTGAGAGTTATATATACCATTGAACAGGAGTATATTTCGATCAATAATCATCAAATTTTACATAGTATGCATATTTATGTACATTTCGCATAGCTATATAAAACTTATTCGAAGCACGCTGATACAAGGTGATATTTTCACTTAAAAAAAAACATCCCTTCATCAGATGTATTTCAATAACATACTTTCAATGCCATAATAAAAACAGATCTTATCGGTGAGTTGAGTCGTATAATGATACTTTATTATTGAGAGAAACACAGACTATAGAATGAATATTGCTCAACATACATTGTACGCTATTGCTGTAGTCAGACAATCAGATCATGTACTTAGAATAGATATATATGAGGAAATTAGTAATTTCTTATAAAATAAACATTGATGAGTCCATTTTGCATTTTATCAATCTTCATACACTAGGTTTGGATCAGAGATCCACAAAATTTAACCACGTGTAACAATTACTATTTATTTTAGTTCGTAAGATCAAATAAAATCCATTTAACACAAATAAATAGATTCAGAAAAACAACATAGAACAATTGAACGTATAAACAATGCTTTGTTTACTTGTTGTAGGTTTGATCGAGTATGTCTGGAGTTAACCATCAAACTCTCTGCACTAAATTATTCAAATTGGTCTTATCATTTGTAGCAGTATAAGCATATGTTTTGTCATTTGATCGTAATAAAAGAAGCCAATAATCAATATAAGGTACATTTCCTTTTTCAAAAAAATAGTAAAACATTATTAGCATTAACATTGGTTGAACAACGATCAGATGTTAGATCTGTTATCTGTCAATATTATTCCGGAAATATGGCACGAAATGTAAAGAATATTTCCCTTTGTATTAGCTAATCGAATTGAACTTTAGTAACAATTCGACATAGCTGAGCAAATCAATCTTTTTGTTAATAAACACTAGCATATTTAATGATTGAGTTTGGTTAGCTGCTGATAACACAGAAGAATAAAATTCACTTTTGTTTTGAATCGTACCTATTTGTCTATTGCATATTACAGACAATCAACAGTTCGATTAACTCTAAGTGTACAATGAATATAAAAAATTCAATTTAGTTTAAATCTCATTTAAAGCAATTATCATTCGAAAACAAGAAAACATTCCATACTCCAATACTCACAATATATTAAGCGTATATGTGCAATGCTCTTACTCTTGTAGTTTATCTTCATTTTGAATGGTGACATGAAGTGACTACGGTGATATATCGCGATTACTCAATAGAAGAAAACAAACTAAATATCACAATACAGATACAATAGTTTTGTTACTCTAAATAATCAATTGTGTTCAGAAAAAGTCATAAAATAACGAAAAAAAGAAGATATGTTTCAATATTTTCATGTGTACAAATAGTTGCAGTTTATTAAAAATATTTGTAAAAGTCTGTCAAAACTAACAAGCTATTTAAGATATTTCTTGGATAAATATTCTTCCCATGTATTTGAAGTTAATGAAATATTGCCACAAGTATTGTAACCTTTAATGAATCCTTTGATAACATTACTTATGGCTGGCATGTTAAGTATCAATTTATTTTCGTGACGTATTTTCAACAATGAATCCATAATTTCTTTCATGTTATATATTTTTTTACCACCAATATTATATGTACTATTTAACGGCGATTCTTTAATAATTTTATCTAGTTCCATAGCTACTGCTTCTACTTGAATAGGTTGTACTTTGAACGATTTCGGAACAATAGTTATTGGAAACTTCAATAATTTGCTTGCAACAAAATCTACGAAATCATGAAACTGTGTAGCTCTCAATATGGTATATGGAATACCACTTGCTTTGATTAAATGTTCACATTCTAATTTTGCTTTGTAATAGGAAAATGGAATTTTATCAATTCCTACAATTGAAATATATACAAAATGTTTAATGTTCTTTTCCTGAATTGAATCCAATAAATTCTTTGTTAAAATTATATCGCCAGGTTGACCATCAATTTTTTGTATATGAATACTTGCAAGATGTAGTATTGTATCTATATCATTATTCACAGATTTATTTAATCCTTCTTTTTTTGACAAATCCATATAATTCCATTTTAGATTTAAATGAGAAGCAGCATTGTTATTATCATAAGTTTTTGCTTTTTGATTTCGACTAGCAATGAGAAAATTTGTGTTATTTGAAAGAAATAATTTCGATACTGCTTGTCCTAATACACCATTCCCACCAGTAACAAGTATTTTCGCCATTGTTTGTAATAATTTTATAGGAGTCTAAAAGAACGATCAGAATGAAATTCTTTATTTGTCTTATAAAATCGACCCAAAATTTCACGTATCAATATCAAGATTTTGTTCCAGAAAAATTATTTTTGTGATAAACATAACGAAAGGAAACATTGAAAGATTTCCCATCAAAATTTGGACGGCTTTTTAAATTGACAATAATAGAAACTATTTATGTTAGTGCCTTATTTCGATTTTGGTTATCGAACAGATGCAGCATTTCTTCGTTTAGGTCTATGATTTCTCTCATTTCTAACATATTGATATACCTACCAGTGATCATATTATATGCTAGCAAACGATCATTAAACAATTTTTAGTTCGTTTTTGCTCCCACTTTCTAGGTATGTAACTCAATAAAGCAGACCGAAGAGTACTGATCGCCGGTTTCTTACCTCATTTTGACAGATTAAAATCGAACGAAAACATGCTGAGGATGTTAAATCAGTAGCAAAAAATTTTCATTTTAATAAGTATTTTTTGACAACAGAATGAGCACTTTTTTCTTGAATAATAAGGCAGAGCACAATACAATCTTCTTAGGATTGGTTAAGATTGGAGCGAAAATGAATATCTGTCTAATCTAAGAATTTAGCAAGAATATAGACTTTACTGCTGATTAACATCTTATGGACAGAAGTAGAGTTTACTGAGTGCATGTTTATTATGGGATATTTTATTGTGATCTAAAAATAGACTTTTAGATTAAATGTATTTATGATATTTTTCTAAAGAGCGTATTAAATGGTATTGCACTCACTGACTACGTTTCATAGTGACCTTGGTTTAATTCATATTTCTTTTGACAGCAAACAACAAATAACCAAAAATAAGATTAAAAATATGCGTAAAACATGAGACGAGCATGCCAAGAAAAAAAACAATATGCACGTGTCAGAATTGGAAGAATGCAAAAAATACGGGAAAACAGTAGAAAGGAAAGAAAAAAAATACACGTTGGTTGAGGAATAGAGGGTACAAAAAAGACCTAACGAAAGTAATAATGCAAAAGAAAGAGAAGGAGAGTGGCGAGTCATAGAAGGAAAACATGCTAGTTACCAAGGAAAAGAAAGTGAAAAAAAAGTAGAACAAAAATGACGACAAAAGCTAAAAATACAACTATCAAGATTGAATGAAATAAGAAAGGAATGCTACACACATAATAATGTCCAAATAGATCTTTTCTACGAGTTCGTTTGTTTGAATTCTCTGGTTATTGATCTAGGTAATAATCCAAAATATATATTTAAAAAGGGTTTCAATGCAATTGCTTGACACTCGTCTTAGTTAGAAGTTCCCATCGAGTCTTTACGTTTTTATCATCTGTATTTAGTGAACTTACTCATTTGTCACTATAATTAAAAATGTGGTCATCACTATCTGATCCACTGATTCTATCAAAAGCTCCATTTACTCATCGACAATAACTCACAATGATGATTCAAGAGAACTCCCCTCTTTTTAGTTTATGCTTGCAGTTTTTATTATGTTTCCGTGCACATTTCACTTTATTATGATACTATTCTAGAATATCTGCAAATGTATGTATCAAAATATTTTATTTCTACGACGTATTCATTGACATTCTCTTCTCTATTTCGATCTTATCAAATGTCAGTGAGTAAAATAAAACTATTACCAATACTATTAGCGTAGCTCAGTTCAAATCAATATTACAATTAACTTATAGCACACAGACATTAGAAATAAAATGATGAAGATCATGCTTCATCTCATGTTTTGCTATATAACGAAGATAATCTCGAGAAAGAAAAATATACAGTCAAGAACAAAAGTTTAAGTGAAATTAGTTTTTCACTATGTTTTTCACATTTTTTTTTCAGTATATTTTTTTCATATAATGAGGTATGGGTCTGGTTCAAATAGCGATATGGATGGTATGAGCGGCCAGCTATATAATGTATTATAGAACGAGACTCCGTCTACCTATATGGATTTTTTATAATAAAAAAAAATTTTCTATGCAAAAACAGGATTAGGTGCTTTTCAGTATTTCGCATTTCCTAACCAAAAGATTTATGCTAAAATGAAAGGAAATTATATCAATCGATAGAGCATTTCACGCTCTATCAGTTTATGAAAACAGATTTTTTTCTGGAGTCGATCTTCACCTCTAAAACTTAGTCTTCGTGAGAAAAGTCAGCAAAATGGAAAAGTGAAATTACTTCCTACAAACTTCCTCTTATCACAATGTTTTATATACTATTGGAAAGGGCATTCAAAACTGAAAAAAATGTTATGTTTGAAGCTGGAATATCACTGATTTTTCACGCTCACCTTATTGAAATAAAGTTTTGGAAAACACAACTAGCTGTTCTTTCTTAATTATTTTGATACGAGAAAAATGCTGACTTTTCTCACGAAGACTAAGTTTTAGAGGTGAAGATCGACTCCAGAAAAAAATCTGTTTTCATAAACTGATAGAGCGTGAAATGCTCTATCGATTGATATAATTTTCTTTCATTTTAGCATAAATCTTTTGGTTAGGAAATGCGAAATACTGAAAAGCACCTAATCCTGTTTTTGCATAGAAAAATTTTTTTTTATTATAAAAAATCCATATAGGTAGACGGAGTCTCGTTCTATAATACATTATATAGCTGGACTCTCATACCATCCATATCGCTATTTGAACCAGACCCATACCTCACTATATGAAAAAAATATACTGAAAAAAAAATGTGAAAAAAATAGTGAAAAACTAATTTCACTTAAATTTTTGTCCTTGACTGTAGATGAAATTTGCTTCTTTAGAAATTTTACTTTCATTATCACTGAAGATTAGAAAAAACACCGACACGCACCCACATCCTCAAAGAAAGAAAATTCTCGTCTTCAGCAAAAATATTAATGAAACTGGTTTCTAGTGTCCGTCCGCCACTATTCTATAGTGCACAACTCAGTCTGAAGTTGCATTTGCAAACCATAACATGACGTGTTTCAATATGATACACAAGTGCAGTGTACCGCTGATAAGCTCTCTGTTGATTTAAGTGATAAAAAACAGAATATATGAAAAAGAAAAGGCGAATCACTCTTGTTTCGATAAAGCAAGGTAGGTTTGCTTAAGCAGAAATTGAATTAACTACTATAATTGCATCGATGAATTTCATTAATGTTTTTTCTCACTTCTTCTCGACATTTAAAAAACGCTCTGAAATCCTTAAAATAGGATATTTAGGTCTCGTATGAAAACTATCTTTCTGTGGTTTCATTGATTTTCAGAAGCAGTTTCTGGTTTTTCAAAACGTGGTACTACTCTGAAACTAAAGATATTGGTAATAACTCTCTGTATCTATTGTAGTTGTGCATACAAAGCATAGAATTCGACATGGCCTCTTGTACAAACTCGCCAGTTGATGATCTTGCAACAAAGCACGAGTAAGTACTCACACTTTGTTCATCATAAACATACCGAGAGAATCAACCATTGCACTAGGGAAAAGATTATGATACCATCATCGATCTTAGATAAGGCAGACACACCCATCGTGGTTATTCTGACTCCAGAATTCAAACATACAAATTCTGGAGATTGGCGATTTTCTTTCGATCAACTGGCTTGCAAGTTTGAGATGCTTGGTACCCACGCGATTGCAACGCCATGGTCTACGGCACCTCTTGCTCTTGACTCTTCCTGGTCTTCGATTTGCTATGTAGCCAGTCTTGCGTGGGGCTATCATACCGTTGCAGATCGTTGGGAAGCATGGCTTCATGCTTGGCCAAAAGATGTGAGATTGATCAATTCTCCATCGCTCCTTCTGTGGAATACTCGCAAAACATATTTGAAAGAATTGGAGAAGGCTGGTATTCCAGTCGTTCCAACACTGTACGTCGAGCAGATCGATGAAAAAACACTGATTGATGCTGCAGCACATTTTGCTACTACTGATCTTATCGTCAAACCTCAAGTATCGGCATCTGGTTTTAATATGTTACGCGTTTTGGTTGGCAGCTTGGATCTTGCTTCATCACCAAGTAAGAAGAAAGAGAGAGAATGAACTCAATTCTAGTCAATATACATTTCTATTAAGGATCATTGAGTGTCACTACGGCAGTTGATGAATTCACCCGCTTGGGTATCGCTCATTCGGCCATGATGATCCAACCGTTCATGCCCAATGTTGTTCACGAAGGTGAACTATCAGTAATCATGTGTAATGGGCAGTTCAGCCACGCAGCTCGAAAAACTCCATCATCCGGCGATTATCGCGTACAAGATGAACTTGGTGGTATCATCACTGCTATGGATCAACCTTCGGCTGAAATGCTCGAACTGGCCCGTGCTTCGCTAGCAATCTGTCCTGAAACTCCTATTTATGCACGTGTCGATATGATACGTAATCACCTGACTGGATGCTTGTCCATTATTGAACTTGAAGTTATCGAACCGGATTTGTATTTGAAGCATACAACCGATGGAGGCATGACATTTGCACGTTCCATCTTGCAAGCTCGTTCTCAGAACTGATCAGAACATGAATGTTGAAACATGATCTTATAAATGTTCTCTACGTTTGTACTTGATATCAGTCTTCCAACTAGATACATTTGAAAAGAAAATTGTTTCACTAGTATCTCAAACTAGTGTCATCATCATCATCATTCGTGATAAAAGAATCTGAAAAAGACGATATTAAGCTAACACATATCAATCTTTTCTTTTCACAGATGAATCCTACCATAATTAAAGTATTCAATTATTGGCTAGTTCAATAATCATTCGCAATGCTGATGATGAAATATACTTATTACCTGACGATTCAAAATGAAGAATCTTTTCTTTCTTTCAATATTATTGTTATGTACTATAGAGCAAATCAAAAAAGTATTTAAGCTTCCTAAAAAAGATAAGTTTACATTTCATGGAAACAATATATTTAGATATACGACATTCAATTCAAATAGTGACTTTTAAAATACAGACATAGGACAAAAAGTATATTCTCATACGTACAGATAGTATACAATATAGTTTTAAGAATTTTCATGGAAGTTCTTATGAAATGCTAGATAGATATTTTATATAATTAATTATTTTTTTCATGAAAACAACATTTTTAACCAACTGTTCTTTTCTTAATTAACAAAAGAGTGTTTTCAAATAGATACATTTACCCGCCATCTTCACATACTTACTAAATCAAACTTTCATACGAAATCGATTAACAACTTGTAAAAGTAGACTACGAACAGGGCTCTAAACCATCTGAATACAAAAATTAAGATTTCAAATCAACTCATTCTCATTTACATGTGGGCTTGGTGTGGTAAAAAAATAACTCAAGAAAGTCAAGCATTGAACAAGTTCTCATTTGAAATAGTGTTGTTTCGTAACCATCGCGTAAATCATTCAAGTACTGTAACCAATGCATACAACTTCATGTGAACTAACTAAAAAAAAACTATTTTTCATAAACATGATATTATAAGAAAGACATTCTCCTATTTTATTGTATATAAACGCAGTTGAATTTTGAAGAACAAATAGTTAAATCCTAATTGTTTCATCGTTATTATATGACTCAATGCTGAATCATTCTCTATCGTCTACATTCATCCGTTTAAACCTCTTCGACCAAATTATATGAAACATGTTGCACTATCATCCGATGGTTAAAGGAAAAGAAGAAAAATAAGAGAAAAAAATCATCTACTCACAGAAAAAATAACATTCAAGCGACAATAGTAAACCAACACAAAAAAGAGAAAGTAAAAAAGAAATAAATCAATTATTTTCGACACATCTTTTACTTGTTTTCGTATAGAGATGACATTATTGCAAAGNTTTCATATTTTTCCTTTTGTTCCATATTCCTCCCATTTCAGCCCATGGGTGATCCTTTGAACTTTCGGCCCATGGGTGCCCATTAAAATTTCGGCCCATGGGCCGAATGGGCCGGGCTGGGCCGGCCCATTGAGACCTCTGATTCGAATTGCTGCAATTTTTCTTCACCTAAGCAGTATAATGAGAAAACCTTTTATATGACCCTTTTTTATTTTTGATTTCAAAACAAAATATTTATCTTTGTTGTTGTTTTAGAGAAAAAATAATCATATTCAGAAAAGTTCTTTTGATTTATTTGAAGAAAGATAAAGCATATAGTGGATCTTGGACAAATGTAACATGCCATAGAAAGCACAGCAGTTCTACTATATGAACAGTATTCACTGTTAATAGTTGTGCTGGAAGAAAAGGAATAAAAGATGAGAGTAAATAAAAATAAATAATAATATAATGATTTAGTTATTGCTTTTTCTACTAAATTACAATTATATAGATGGCATTAGGCTTGCTAGTGCCTATGAAAATGATCAAACTGCTTCTAGTGAATGTTGAAACGACACGGCTGGTATAAATAAAATGATTGGCAGTGAAAAAGTTGTTGCAGAAAGTTAGGAATAGGCGACATCTTTATAAAAAGATACCAAAAAGTCCTCTTTAGTGGTGAGCCAGTTCTGTGTTCGTCACATCGTATCATTGTGGCTCATTTGATTAATAAAGTTATAGTTATTATTCGAAATGCAACAGTGCTTATCAGTAAAAAAACGATAGTCAAATTAGGACAATGAAGAAGGCAACAATGACTTGTTTCTAATGTCTTTTCCAAACATTAAGATAACTCAGATGCATATGTCAATAATATGACTGTTGTGAAACTTAATCAGCAACCAAGTATCTGCAAAGAAGATGTATCACTATAAAATTAAAACTTCAGTGAACATTTCATTGTAAAATTTCTTTCTTTTATGTAGAAAAAAAGTATTCGACGTAAGTTTTATTTCTTTTTGTGTATGGCAAGTTTACCAACGTCAATTATTTGATTACGCAACGATATTAATCCATCTCGAAATGGTATGAATCCTTTCGATTATTAGTTTTGGTCTTGTAGATAATCGTTGACTCTGAGAAAAAAAGGGGAAAAGGCCTAGTTGAGTTTGTATTTGTAGAAGATCTATAAGTTTCATCATTCGAGTTCCAATATTGCGAAAAGTTAAAAATAAAAGAAAAATTTTGAGAATATGCAATAAACTGTCTCTACCAATTCAATAACTTCGTTGTCCTCACAAGTAAAATGATGCCACCAAACGATTTTGAACTGAACAATGAAAGACTATTCCTGTCTTATTTTGTATTTTAGTATTCCAAAGCGCATATGATTTCAATTTAAATATACGACTTTTTCAACACCAAAAGGTTATTCAAAAAAAACACTTCATTAAAACTCTAAAACCAGAAAAAATTGACTCTCGATAGATATCTTCCACCTATGAATCGATATAAATTTTCATAATAGATTGTCATATATTGCCAATCTGAGGGGTAGATGAAATTTGTTATTCTAGACGATATCACAACTTTCACTTAATACAAGGCATTCTGTTATGCATATACAAGTACTCTTTGATTCTCTATATTCCTTGATGTTCACTTTTATGTTCAATTTCGTTCTTTTCTGCAGATGCAGGCTACATAATTTGTTATTGTGACTATTGGTGCAGAAAATAGAAGAAAAAATGGTTGAAACATCTACATTCGATGAACATTGATATTTTTAATGAATTACTTGACAGACAGTGGCAAAAAAATATGAACAACGCATCATCGATGAAAAAATTGAATTGTTATCACATGATGAGATACTATTATACATTATTTATCTAGTAATCTGATTATTTTTATCTTGAAGTTCGAAGAAGATGAGCATGATGAAAACAAAGTAAGATGCTTGTAATAATTTTGTTAACTTGTTTTCATATAGACCAATGAACTTTTTCGTAAGATTTGAAATAAATTCTAGACTGATCATTTTTTTGCTTCATTGCTCTTTCTAAAAGCTTTCTATTATTTGACAGTCTAAAGATTATGTATAATTTATACTTGCTAGGCGTGTGGGTGTGAATCATCATTTCACTAACACTCAAATGCACCCACATCAACGCTCACACCCCATGATCGTTTATACCGTGTTTGTTTTACAACTTTTATGCTAATAAATATTACATGACATTTTTATCTATCATAGTCAGAGTAGCAATTGATATTTCCGTCCAAAAGGTGTCGTATTAATCCAAATTATTTCGTTTTGTATAGACCTTATTGATATTCTGCAACACCTTAAAAATCGATGCAATAGAATAGAATCAGTTGATCCTCCGCTGACGTTCTCATTTTGGAACTTCATGAATGTTCTGGGGTCCACTTGGGCCCACCCATAAAAAATTGTAATACAGTAAAATCTTTATAAGATGAACACCATTGGGACCTCCCGAAAAGTGTTCATTATGAGAGATGTTCATCTTATAGAGGTTTTGCATAGATTAAGCTGTTGCATGCACACAATGATCAGTAGGACTATTTCAATGACTACACAATTCATGTGAAGTTCACTGCTGATGAATCATATTACGAAACCAAATCTTTCATGTAGTGCATGACTTTTTGTGCAATCTTTGTTGAAAATAATCCTCCGTCGTCGTCTATTTGGGACCTTTCGTGTCGATGTAGAGTTGAGTGCATTGCAAGACTAGCTGTGCAATTTCTTCTGAAAGGGTCAATGTACGCTTTGTAATCATCTCTTCATTGAAAATAAACAAATGCTCTGTTAGATCACTGGTGAACGATGAATCCATCTCAGAACAGTGTGTCGTGGACTATTGATTTCTTTTTGTTCTTTTTTCTATGATGAATAGACCGCCATGAATTGACCTAGCCCCTCTTTAGAATGCATATTGTGTTTTGTTTTTCCCTGTTTTCTCACACATACATGCATAAGTTGTTGAACGCGTGTTCATTATATAGAGGTTTTCTTTGCTGAAGGGACCAAGAAAAGTGTTAATTGTTCAGAATTGAGAGGTGTTCATTATATAGAGGTCCATTTACAGCAAAAATCGATCAGGGAGACCGAAACATGTGTTCAAATAGGAGGTGTTCATTAAGGGAGGTTTTACTGTAAATCGATACTTTTGTTTTACCTCAACTATTCATTCATGTGCTATAAGCCTTTAAATACTCTATTTATAAAGATATGTATGTGTAACACGTTTCATAAAGACAATATAGAGAAATACAATATTGAAAAAAGTTGTCTGGCGTCGATTTCATTACAACACTGAAATACAGCTGAAAAAAATGATTTCATTTGTAAAGAAAAGTTTAAAAGCATCAAGAATGGTCTGAACTTTAGTAGTAGAACCAGGCTTTTTTTCATTATATTAGCAGCAGCTATACGACTTTGTACTAAGTTTGAGTGCATAGACCATGTAGTGCCAGCCTTTTGTAATGTTTCTGGTTCACTAATTGTAACAACATCACCTTGTTCAATGTCGGAATTTGATGAATCAAAATCTTCTGATATATGTTCACTATCAGATATATCATCTGATTCAGTAGCAACAAAATCATATTCACTATCCGAATCAGAACCTTGATTATCACTAAAATCATCATTAATTTCATTTTCATCTGCCAATGGAATGTTTCAAATTCGTTTTAAATTTGACTTATGCGTTGCGTTCATGCGATAAGAACAGAAAAGTGTGAAAATGTTCGTTTGGTAGTTTAATTCTCTTAAATTTTTAAAAAGTTTTAACAAATTCACCGAATCGAAAGAAATAGACAAAAATAGTAGAATGCAGAAATGTGGTTTTGATCTGATAATAGTCACAAATTTCACATTATATAAAGAAAATATGAATCATTAATATTAATAATGAAAGTACAAACGAATCATAACAAATCTATTCGAAAAAACAATTGCAAGATAACAGATGACAGCTTTAGCAAGACAAAAAATTATACTGATAACACCATTGGCGTTCTAGGTTCCACGTAGACCCACCATTGTGCTTTTGCCTCCCTAGGGCTATTCCTAATTTCTGGTGGGAATATCATGGGCCTACTAAAGACTAGAGATTACCGAAGTGGAATGATCCAAAACAGTAAACGCTGATGAAATATTAGACGAAAAATTGTGATCCGTCCAAAAAATGAGATTTTAACACTGGGGATGAAAAATAATCTTAATTTTTTCATGAATATTTTTCATTGGGTTATTAAACAGTGACTTTTTACAGACACGTACTGATATTCAAATTGACTATCAATATTTAATATCAATCAGAAACGTAGGTGAAAAATAAGAAATAAATATACAATATTGTTTGAGTTTTGTCACATTATATGTTACTTACTTGACAAATTCTACATGCTACTAATGCACGAGCATCTGTTGGTGGTACTGTTCATCTTATCTATACAAGACTTAGACTATCGAGCGTGTTTCCTACTGCAATCGACTTGGCACTATTTAAAGATGTTCTTAGCTCTATTTCACTACAGATCGAAGTTCCTTATAAGCCACTGCCCATGGAAGCATTATCAGGTCGAGAGATACCGATTACAACTCTTTCAATAAGGCTTCTAGGTCTAGGTGATGCAATTAATTATACAACTGTTGAACTTATCATGTGATTTTGTCATCAGAATGGTTTAATTTTAAAATCAAGTCAACCATCGACTATGATAAATTTATTAATATCTAATTGGACTTTTTATAACAGAGTTTTAACAGAAGAACTTTATTCAACAAGAACAATATCTAGTTTTAGCAAATAATTTGTATTCAGAAATGATCAAATATTTCATTGAAATCTGACATCAGTTTTGAAACGAGATGATTTCATTTATTCTTCAATGATTGAAGGTGTCAAATGTTAATGTCATTAATCCTTTAAATGTTATAGCAAATCAACGTAATAATTTATGAGTTTGTTCTTGGCATTTACCACCTTTATATAGATTAAACGATCAACTTAGAACTTAATATACGGTAAGTTGCAAAATGGATCAAATGCATAAAAGCAAACGCATTTGAACGCTATTATAAATAGTGTCCATTGGAGACAAAAAGATTCTCTGTCACGAACACACTCTAAACGTTTTTTTAAATGGCATTTCAATTTGAAAGAAAGCGTTGTAAATAAAAAACGACATGTTTCAACGCAAAAATACAGTTTTAAGTATCATTGAGGAAAATTATATGTTCAAGCTGTATCTTCTAATATAATGCCAGTCATTGTCTTTCATTCAACACTACTTTCAGTTACATTGAAATAAATTGCATTGACTTCAGACGAATAGAAGCAATAATAACTTAAAAAGGATGATTTTATGTCAGAATATACTTACATGTTTCGCTTATTCAAATAATAGTAGTATGTAAAAAGAAACATTTTCTTAATAAATATCGAAATGAATTAAGTAAACAGATAAATATTTTTAAAGTCAGAAATCAGTATGATGGCTCTCTCACCTTAGCATTTTAAACCAACGAATCAATCTCTTTAGAATAAAACTACGTTTACAGAGCAATGTTTAAATTGCTTTCTTAATATGTGTCGATCAGTGTTGTTCACATGTTTTTCTTTTTGAGTTTGCGCAATATTTTTCTTTCTCTTACCTCCTCTGGTAGAACACGACGAAGCATCCGTTAGTATTCAGAGCAACAACGTATTTCTTCTGTGTTATGCAATAACTAGCTGATGCAATGTTTTAGCATGTGCGTGTATAATATTTGCTTCTTTTTTCTTTACTGTAAGCATTCTAACTATGACTACAATCATTGATTCTTCTCTTTCATCATCATTATCACAATTCGAAAACAATGTACACTTGACTGAACGTGTAAAGGTACTATTAACAACAAGTGAAGATGAGCAAGCCATTGGATCTATTTATTCATATTGGTTCGGTGAAAATATTGATACATGGTCTAAAAGTTATCCATTAAATACAAAATTATGGTTTAAAGTCGATGAACAAGTAGATCAAGAGATCAAAGATAAGTTTGAAAAATTTTTAATCAATGCTACAAATGAAAACAACAACTTCTACCGGGATTGGCAAACAACAACTCGAGGCAAACTCGCTTTAATTATTTTATTCGATCAATTTTCTCGAAATATCTATCGTGGTACACAAAAAATGTTTGAATTCGATCCGTTAGCTCTTAAATTAGCGCTTGAAATTGTCGATGACCCAACGCATGTCACATTATACAGCTTACCAGAACGTATCTTTGTTTATCTTCCACTTATTCATTCCGAGAATCTCATTTATACAACAAAAGGTGCTAGCCTAACAAATGATCTTGTATCACAAGTAACTCAACGTGATTTGCGTAAACGATATGCTGCAAATGCTCGATCAGCAAAAACTCATCAACAAATCATCGAATTATTCGGTCGTTATCCACATCGAAATAATATTCTTGGACGAGAATCCACTATCGAAGAGGAAAAATATTTAAAAACAGCACGTAATGGATTTGTACAATCTGTTCAGCCGATCAAATCAGCAGTAGAAGAACCTGTCAATAAAAATGAAATACCATGTTCAATACAATTAAAACATCCTCGTCTAAAGATACTCGTTCTACATAGTTTTCGTCAGAATGCCAATAGTTTAAAACGTAGTGCGAAGAAACTCTTTACGGAGTTAAAAGATACAGCAACATTTTATTTCGCCAATGCTCCATTACCATATAGTCCGACAAGTGAAGTGAAAGAACAATTAATAGCTGCTTTTGGGGATGAAAATTTACCTGAAACAACTTATCAACGACAATGGTGGAATGCTTCAACAGATAGCAAAACTTATCATCACTTAGATGTTTCATTACATTATATTGATAAACTATTTCAATCAGAAGGTCCGTTCGATGGAATATTTGGTTTTTCAGTATGTATTTTTTTTTCTTTTGTTAGAGTAAATTTTACTTTACAAATTATTGTATATTTATTTAGCAAGGAGCTTGTTTAGGTGGAATTTTATCTGGATTACAACCATTTGGTAATATTTCGTTTGATTTTACCATATTAATCTCTGGATTTACTTCTCGAGAGGAATGCCATGAACATTTAGTGCAACCAAACTCAATAAAGAATCTATCTTCCTTACATATTTATGGAGTCAATGACATTCTAGTTAATAATGACCGAACGCTAAAGTTAGCAGCTGCATTTGAAAATTCTATTGTTCTTTCACATCCTGGTGGTCATTTTACACCAAATACATGGCCAAATGCTAGAATCAAACAATTTTTAATTGAACAACAAGATCGTTTATCAACTAAACAAGGTAGAACAACAAATATTGATATAGGTCAGTTCGAATCATTAATAACATTTGAAGAGAAACTAAAAGCAACAATTTTATATCATCAAAAACGACTATCCACTTTACCAGCCACTGAACGAAATCATGAAAAATTACCGGTTATTCCTATCGGTCTATCAAAACCAATGGATCAACAAAATATTGAAATCATTATTGAAAATATCGATAATTATCTAATCGATGATGTTATGTTACTCGTTTGGTGTGAACGAACAACATTTCACAATAGTGAACCTAAAGTCGATAACGAGAAAAATATTATATCATCGTTTTTTCGACATTGGATTTTATTACATTTGAAAAAACCTGATGAAATAGTTTCTTTGTATTTAAATGCCATTTCAAAATATGGTGGTTGGGGAGATTTAAAGACTTTATATGTAATTGCTGATCAAATGGAAAGCGAATTTGTAACTGAAAAAATATTGTTCGATAATTTGAAAGCAACATGTGTGAAAATATTTGGTGATCAATTAAAACACGATTATCATATTGTTGTAAATCAACCAGATGAATCTGCAAATGATAGAGAACAAGAAAAAATTATTAAAAAGCAAGAATGGATTAGCAATTGTGCTAAAGAAGCCCCACGAATATCCAATAAACGTACAAAACCAAGGACAAGTAAATATATAATACTTCGTCTATCTTCTATATGATCTTTTGTTTAGTTATGGCAAAAGAAATTGCTAAATATATGCAGCCTATTTCCAATACTAATAATAAAACTGAAAAACAATTGACTGCTAATAAATGTTATGCTTATCAAACTTACAAACGACTTATTTCATCAATTTGTCATGTATTAGAGAAAGCATCACCAACTTTCATCGATGAACAAATGAGATCAAGAACTCGAAAGGATCGGGCATTTCAATATACAAAAGAACAACGAGAACAATTATTAAAGGCTCCACCTTCACTCTATATAACCAATCCTGAACCAGTACCAGGTATAGAAATCTTAATCCACATGTGGTATTTTTCAATGTTTTCTCTTTAGTTGTTCCATGTTCTCTAGAAGAATTAGAACCATTATTGGAACATTTGAAATTAAATAAACCTGGACCAAGTAATGATCAACAATCGATTGTTTTCTCGCGTGGTACGATCATGTCCAGTGGACGATTAGATTTATGCAAACAAGTTGTTGGTCCACAAGGTATACAACCTTTACTTAACGCAATGAAAAATAGTTCAGTGATTAATCGATTATTGTTAGGTAAGTTTATTAATGAGCAAGGTATTTATTTTAGCATAAAACAAAACGAACTTTTGTATCTATTGTTATAGGAAATAATATTGTCGGACTTTCCGGAGCTCAAGCTATTTCTCACTATATTCGTTTCAATATTGACTCTAATATTGATACATGGTACATTGCTGGTAATCATTTCGATAGTGAATGTATATCATTGATATGTGATGCATTAGCAACCGATACTAAAGTTAAAGCACTTTGGTTAAAACGAAATCCAATCTTAGTTAATGGTGTTGTACATATTGCTCGAATGTTAACAACTAATAATTTCTTACAAACATTAGATTTATTGAATACTGGTTTATTAGATGAGGGTTGTGAAATATTATTTAATGCTTTTAAATCAAATCACAGTATAAAACATTTGTATATTGATACCAATGGTCTAACTGTTAAAAGTGGACAAAGTATACGTTTACATTTTGAACAAAATGATAATCATTTAGAAACTCTGTATATATCGTGCAACGCCTTGGGTGATGAAGGTACTTGTGAAATTGCTGCAGGATTAAAACATGATAAACGTCTGAAACGACTTGGCTTAGCATCAAATTGTATCGGTGCCGATGGTGCACGAGCGTTAGTCGATGCACTTATAAATCATGTATCACTTGAACAATTAAATCTTGGTTTTATGAAAGCAACCATCTTGCTTGGTGGTTTGGACAATGTTATCGGAAATGGAGGTGCAGCAGAAATCAGCAGATTAATTCGATTAAATCAACATATTCGTTCGATTGATCTTACATTTAATGGTATTTCACAAAGAGGATTAATACTATTAAGAGATGCATTGAAAGAAAATCGAACTCTGACAACTTTGAAAATATTACAATTTGGACAAGTACATAATGAAATAACAAAGGAAGAAATAAATACAATGATTGAACAAAATAAAATCGAATGGGGAAAACAAGTACTTAGTAATGATATTATTAATGGCTCGTCTCTCTCAAAACTTGAATGTTTAGAAAAAGGTCAACAATTAAATGATGAAATCAATTTTCCTGAACATGTTAAGGAAATAATTAGTTATTACAGAACACATTAAAAATAGTCTCATGATGCTTTTTTTTTATTTGAAAAATAGTCTAAATCGTAAAGAAAAATAAATTCACGAGATAAAATCATTATAATCAGATTGAATGAAAAAGTTTGGATATAGTGGTACTTTGTAGAGAAGTCTATCAATCAAATGTTAGATGAAACTAATTAATAATTTTCATCCTAATATTAAACTAGAGCATGAAATTGGTACAAGTATATAATTTCTCGATGTATTTGTCGAAAATAAAAATAATATATTAATAACATCAGTGTATCATAAAGAAGCTGCTTAGACCTATATAGTACCATTTAGATATGATAATTCTTGACATGTTTTTACAAATATTTTTGATAGTATTCTTCTACGAATGGTACGTTATTCAGTAACGTTATCAGCTTTCGATGAAGAACGATATTTAATTAAACTTATACTACTCTACATAACGGATTCATTTTTTTCTCTTTTCTCTTATTTTTATTCTTTTTTTAAATAATAGTCATTCAATAAGGTACATATATAGTGAAGTTCAAAAATTTTTCTGAAAATATCTATCAATATAACCTAGTTTACCTTTGCTTGACAACGAAAATGAGTTTCCTGTTATGCATCAAAAATGTTAATTCAAACACAAACAATCAAACAGCTAATCCATCTGATGTAAAACGAGTCAGTAATGAATCGAAATAGATGAACAATCTAATTATTTATTATACATACAAAACAGGACTTCAATAGTTAAAGATATTCATTCTAAAATAGGCATGAAGAAAAAAAAAACATGTAGTTATTTAGTAATACAAACGCAGAATAAAGACTTACTTCTGACAACTGAAGGTCTACTTTCGATAGATGATCACTCATTTCTCTATTTTGTAATTGCCACGATAAATGAAAGATTGAATATTGAAACTTGAGACTACATGAAAACCATACGAACTGATCAGATTCATCTGAACACTAACAAAATCCAAATCAATTGCAGCTTTAGAATCATACAACAATAACAGACGAGAAAGAACTCATTTGTATGTAACGATGGGAAATAAAGTTTGACAATAATTAATTCATTTTATTTCTCAATGAGACAAAACTTTTGTTAGATTTTTCAAAATTTGTTCGATCATAAGCCGAAATAGTCGACGATGCATATCTAATAGAGCCATTGTGCAGATTCATGATAAAAGGGATTTTCAAGAGTGTGCTGCTAATCAGAGAACAACGATAATAAACAAGATCTATGAAAAACTAACTAATAGCATTATTCGATTTATTCAAGATTGCTTGTAAGTTACACCGCATATGAGCCACACTGAGAACTGATATCCACTATGTCATCTTACAGAAAATGTGAAGAATATATGTAACCTTTGGGTCATTTGAACAGTAACTTAGTCAAAGCTATCTGATGAGACAATTTAGCAAAGTCGAAATGTGTCATGGTTTGCTTGAAATACATTCGCCGTTTGCACCAAATTTTTTTGTGGTTTGTCCACAACAGGTTTAGTACAGAACTATTTTAATGGTTAGACAATTGAAAAAATGTTGGTCTAATTAGCTTACATAGGCCGTGACAGATATTTTGGCACGATTATATATTGATCGAGTCATGAATTATGATAGACGCGATAAAGGCTCTCGTTTAGAAATAAAGTGGTTTCATCATGTTTTACATTTAAACTTGATAGGATTTCGCTCAAAACTTTTGTTCCAAAGTAGGCATCAGACTCGATTACACATGAACCATTGAGAACTACCATTTAATTGCTTTTTGGAGCTTGATCAATGTTGATATGAGAAGAGACTACCTTGCTAGTATAGAAAAAGCACACAATTGGCATGAAATCATGATATCCCAATCGTTCAAATTCAACAGCAGATAAGTGATTTAATAGTTCAAAAGAACGATCAAGACGTTGAGAAAATCATATAGCTCTATTTTATGTGGGTGCTGTTGAGTTGTGATTTCTTTTTTTAAAGGTACTGACTACATGCCTGATNATGCCCACCCGACCCCACACCCACACCCACACCTCCACCCACACCAACTAACACACCCACACCAACTCCCACACCCCACACCGACACTCACCCAATATAATGTGTAGCTTTTGAATAATTGTTAACAATTAGAAAGATATTGAAGACGTCAAAAGCACACATTGTGTAAAGTTCCTGAAATTACGGCTCGATTATACAGTAGAAAACCAAAGGTTTTAGAAAGCTAACTCTTAAAAATAACTATTTGTATGGGTCCTGATTTTGCCAGATAAGTTTCGATCCGAATTATCTCTCGTCTGAGTACGAAAATGTTGAACGAATACAATTAGAATAAAATCAATCATACATTGATGACAAAATAAGACTTAGAAAACTACAAATGAAACTATTGACATGAGTTTCACAAATTTATTGTACTTTAAGAATCAAATCAAGCCAACTGTCTCGAAAATAATTTTTCCAAGTCATCAAGTGACCGTTCTTCCTTGATGAAGTCACTGAAAACATGGCAATTTTTTCAAACGATATGATCAGTCACTATCTTTGAGTACAATTATCGATAAGAGACTTTGAGAAGTTTCTCGGATTACATTTGGAGTATTTTCTTCGGTTTTTATAAATAGATTCATAGCAGCAGTAAAGAAGACATGTTCTGACTTTTCTCGTTCCATATAATTTTCAGTATATGGACATTTCTTTGAATGGACCAAACAGAACGACAATTTTTCATATGAAGAATCGGGTATATCATAAAAATAAGATAATTTGTATTTCATGGTTTTTTCAACAAACTTTTGTTGCAGATCTCTCTTTGTACTATCACAAAATTCACGTTTTAATTCTTTATCAGATGTGGATGAAGAGAAAAGACACGCACACACATACCCTATATCAGCTCACATTTTACGAGAAGAACAATTGAAAACGACTCTACAATACTTTCCAACGATCACGGTTTTTGGTGGCTGTGGATCTTGGTAGATATCGTGACAGCGTTCGATTCGCCTATTCGAGTCATCATATTTAAATAAGTTTTGGTATGGTTCTGCCCGTCGTCGATTGGCTAATGCCGAAAATCCACTAGCTGTCAAAATACTCATGTGGCATTCTCCTAACACGTAAAAATCGGCAACTACTTTGAGAAATCCATGAAGACGATGAATACCATTAGCTGGACGATCAACATGAAGGATTGGACCAGGTATTGTTAAAGTTTGATTTGGAAATTGACGAACTATGCTTGACGATGCTTGCTCTGAGTCGCTCGTGACAAAAATTCGTGTATTTTGCATTTTTCTTAAATTCGTTCTATTCAAGAAATCTAGTATATTTTGAACGGCTAAAACTCGATCTCCAGAATCAGCATCCAACGGATTGGAGGGATTCTTTCCCATGCGCAAATGTATGCAAGTGAGTATGAAGCCATTTTCAATATCTTGAAGAATAGATTGTAATACAGTGGCCACTTCAATACTTGGTTGAAATAGAATTTCGAATAAAAAAGGAAATAAACTGTGCAAGGTCAGTTGTTCTAAAGGTACATTGAGCAAGAACATATTAATTATTGTATTGTTTCGCATAAGAGGATTTCGAAAAATATCAGAAATCAAATCAATATTTGTATATATTTCGATGTCGTCATATTTTCCCCAAGTCTCAATGAATTTTATATTTCGAATTCGATTCTCAAAGCTGGATTGA